TCAAATTCAACTGTTTACGTGGTATGCCTGTAGTAGGCCTATGACATGCTTATAGCAATTACTATAGTGTCCATGATGTCCACTAAACATACTTGGAACAATTAAAATAAGGTGAAAAATGCAAACTGTTGTCTCTCGACCATCCCGTCCTCTCTCCTTCCCTTGACTCGAATATGTCAGATGATGTTTTTTAATAACTCATTGTGAAACCTTAAATCAGAATGTTTTATTTAGCCTATCTGTCATCACTGTGGTTTGAATTAATTCTGTCTGTAACGTGGTAGAGAGAATCAAAACATGGAAACTGGAATTCGAAATTTATGAATTGGCCAATTGTGCATACAAAGGCCTTGTTAATATAATTAAACGTTGTGCAATCACCCCAAACAGAGGACAGGACGAGACATTCACATTACATAGCTCATAATTACTGTACGTTTGGCAAAGCAGGTCATTTGAATTAGCTGAATACCATCTCAATTCTCTAAGACAAACGAAGATGTGAAATGCTATCATATCTTTATACTCATAGCACATCAATAACGTGAAATGGTCAACATTTTAGCATTAAAGGCCTAATACTACTATAATAGTCATGCTAGTACTATATTATACTATTCACACGGTAATGTATCAGGATTAAAGGGTCATTCTAGCGCTATTAACCCACAGATGGCCCAGGCAGGTTGACTGGGCTCCAGTCCCTAGTTGCATGTTTACAAGACATCCCAAGACATCCCATTTCAGATCCACCAGCTGTGAGCCAATGTTGGCCATAACTGGCTCCAGGGTTTTCATTGAGTACAAAAGGGACATCAGTAAAATGTGCACATGTAAATAGACCTATAGGCCTTTCTATGAACTATCAGTAGTATTTTTTTATACTAAGCCTACTGTGGTATGTGGTAATAACTGTAGTCAGGGAATAAAAACATTAGAGAGAACCCATAATCATGTAGAACATAATTTGCATTGCATGATTACAGAGTTGGGCCGAAAACGACATGTAAACAATGCACACATTATGTGTGTGTTTGTGTATGTGTTATAGGCGTATTACTAAACTATTTTGTTTATGGTGGATCAGCTGCACTAACACAACTGAATGCATGCCCAAAATGACGTAGGCTACTTTTCATCGGTTTCAACCAATGTCTCAAAAATAGCGGGGTTGCTCAAGATCAGTTTTGATTCGACACAGCACGACAGACAAGGGAGCAGCCGCCGATGCAGGCTGACTTCACAAAATAACGGTCCATATAGCCACAGAAAACATAGGCTAAGTATTTCGTTTGTTTATAAGAAAGCTTCACAATACGCTTGCAATTTTTGGAAATGTGAGCGCTTTCTCTCAATCAAGCATTCATTTAAAGAGGTAAGATGGGAGAGAAATCGCAGTTTATTGTCCCTGCCTGGTGCCTGAATTGTCGCTGTCATACTTTATACAATTTTAACATAACCGTTATGCACATTGTAGCAAAAATTAAGGAATTAATATCCGACAAATTCCTCTGCACAAACGCCTTTGAATTTGTTAAGGACGATAGGAATTCTAACGGAGCCTCGTTCGTGAATCCCTATCCGCTATTTTGTTACCTCTCGGCTGCGGTCGAAGCAGGCAAATAGCAACAGGCCAGGATGGAGGTATAAAGGAGACGGCGCAGACACACATTCCTATTCGTTTTCTGCACACACAGTAAGAAAAATGACTTACCGGGCTTTATCTCACAAAGCTTGGATTTCTTCAAGGTATATATTCTGCCTGACGATGATGCTTTGAGTTGTTAAGCTGTCTGAAGACTGAAGGCGGAAACAGGAACTGGGAAGGGAGAGACTGCTGCGCGAGCCCGAGTAGTCACTCCGCTCTGCTTAGCTTCTACTGAGGATACTTGAATTGACACAGAGCTGCATTGCGCATGCTTGAGTCAATTCAATGAGCGGTTCGGTCTGCACACACTCCATCCAGTCTTCTGATGCGTTGTTATTTTCCAAATTTGAACCAATTGAACCTAATTGTCTTCTACACCTTTTTATATGGGGGTATTTGGTATTACCAGAATAGAAGTGGATATTGAACAGATCAATTTGGTGTCCAAAAGTGGGTTTAATAAACAGGTGTCTTCATTATATCTATTTGTGAGGCCCTGAACAATCTGAAGAAAGTGTGTAATCACATAATTCAATGGGGATTTTTTATTTTTATAAACGGGTTAAACTGATTACTCAATCTGGCATTTTGCAGGCGCTATAAAAGTTAATGATATCCCAGGCCTAGAAAGACTAGGTGGGAAGGTGGGTATATTTAAGTAATAAAGCCAGAGGAGGTGTGGCATATGGCCAATATACCACGTCTAAGGGCTGTTCTTAAGCGTGACGCAATGCAGAGTGCCTGGATACAGCCCTTAGCCGTGGTATATTGGCCATATACCACAAAACCCACAGGTGCCTTATTGCTATTATAAACGTAATTAGACCAGTAAAAATATGTTTTGGGTCATACCCATGGTATACGGTCTGATATACCATGGCTTTCAGAAAATCAGGGCTCAAACCACCCGGTTTATAATTACATTTTAGTCATTTAGCAGATACTCTTATCCAGAGCAATTAGTGTTAAGTGCCTTGCTCATGGTATGTGTTTGGCATACTCTCCAGGAAACAAAAGCTATATTGCCTAACCATTGTTTTCCTGACACTAAACTGACACTGTCCAAACAACCATTCTGTTATAGTCTGTGTATAATATCCTTTATGATATGCAAATGAGTTGTACATACTCATTTCCCTAATACCTTACCTTAGTTGACATTTCCCAGCAGCAGCACACTGTGCCGGTATTCGTAAAGCATCTCGGAGTAGGAGTACTGATCTAGGGTATGTTTTGCCTTTTAAATCATTATGAATAAGATAACAGGGGGGGACCTGATCCTAGATCAGCACTGCTACTCTAAGATTATTTTTGAATATGGTTCCTGAACCACAGCCATATACCCTGGTCAATTATATACTGAACATTAAAAGTTCTCTACTTACCAGCACTGCGGTTTTTGCTAAACAACCTCAGATTATTTGACAGGGATACATCTACATAGAGCACGCAATCCAAATAATCTATAGGCCTATTACTCTTTGGTAATAAAGCAAATGTGGCTGTTTTTGTATAAGAAATATGCATAATAAATTATAAGGACAGCCTACATTTTGAATATATAGATAACTGCCACAATCCCACACGGAAGCTGTAAGTCATCCTCTTCACTAAGGATATTTTTAGCTCATTTGTTTAGAAATTGAAATCGGAATGAATCCCGAGAGAAAGTAGATATGCAGACATAACTGGCACTACTAAATAGTGGTCGTTTTCATAAACCAACAATGATGTGCTAGTTCCACCCAGTGGTGATAACGTTGTAGTACAATCATTGTTCAGAAGAGCAAGGTTTTAAAAGAGAGTTCGTTTTTTTTTCAAGCAAAATTGTCTTAATACTGGGTGAAATAGCTCCTTTATATTTATGTTTTATTTTTAAGTGCATGGCCAATGTATTGACAACAATGCATGTTCATGTTAAAAACTGAAATGTTCATGATCAAAATGAAAGAAAACTGAAAAGACAATGACACAGCTTCTTTACAGCTTTGTCAACAAACCATCAAAATAGATTCAAAATGGTTACATGTGATATGCATTTACGTCCTACTACAGAATGAATACCAATGTATTTTTGAGAAGGGGGCGTGGGAACGAAAATTGGTCTTGCACATGCGTCGTGAAACTTTTGTTTCATAGCAACCAGACAGGACAACATGGTGAGTTGTTTGGCTGGCACAAAAAAGAAAAAAAAGCTCTGGGAATGTCGTTTATCAATAGCAAACTACCTAGGCTATCTAGAAAGATTATGTAGCAAGCATTTTATATTCACCCAATCAATGTTAACGTTGCACGGTATTAATTACATGTTTGCTAGCTAGTGTCATAAACGAACGATGCACGAGCGTCTTCACTCAGCCCCAGCTTTGCAGCGATGGGACAAGACTGTAACTACCAATAGGATATCACGAAATTGTGGAGAAAAGGGGTAAAAATAAATTACTACATAAAATATAATAAATAAAAAAAATAGCTAACGTTAACGACGTTAAAGGGATACAGTACTTCGGGATTTTGGCAGAGGCACTTTACGTTATCTAGCTACTTCCCCAGAACCAGTTGAACTCGTGGATACCATTTCTAATGTCTCTGAGTGCAGTTTGAAGTTGCTAACTAGCCTTGGCGCAATGACTGGAACGTCTATTCTGTAACAGTATCTGCTAGCATTTTAGATGATACCCATACATTGTATTAACGCTACTTAACATTGGCTCGTAAAACTACCTCTAACTTACTTAATACTGGACACAGAGACATACAAATGGTATCCACGAATTCATCTGACTCGGGGACGTAGATAAAGAGCCTCTGCCAACATCCTTTAACGTTAGCAACCTGCTAGGAACTAAGGTGACAGAGCAGTCAGTCTTTACTCAGTATCTTGTGAATTTAACTAAATGTCTTATTTGATCTTGCCGAAATCAGACGACAGTATGAAGATCAACTCGTGCTAAAAATTGAAGATGGCTAGCCAGCTAGCTAACGTTAGCTATTCACGTTACTTTAGCCAAAGTCAAAGACACCCAGCTAGCTTGCTATGTTCTGTTTACGTTAGCTTTGCTAGGCTCTGATTGGTTGTTCTTGATGAAATTAACCTTATCCAACTTGCAGCTGCTTGTCAGTGACTATAGCTAGCTAGCTAACATTTATAACATGATAATACGCTTGGCATAATGCTGTTATTGTTAGATTATTTTATGCAAAGGCCAGCCAGAGCTGCAACAGTAACTTGTAGCTACATTATTATTAGATGATGGATTTTCATGACCACTAAGATTGGATTAGTTTAACTAACAGTTTGTATTATTGTTTCACAGGCAAAAGCAACGACCATAAAATAAGCCCTTGTAAAATGGGTAAGTGCATCAGAGCTCTCTCCTAGCCTGGTTGCAGAGCAGAACTGTTTGTGCTGTCTTTCCATGACAATGACCATAGTGTCACATCTGCTCCTGCTCATCCTGTGTCTCCTTGACCTGCCGCCACTCCCCCAGTACTCTCTCCCTATCCCGCTCTCTCTCTCTCTGTGTGTGTGTGTGATTGTGTGGGCGGAGACAGGTGTGCTGGAGTCAGAGCAGATCCCCACCAGCTGCAACCTGTTCCATAATCAATACCTCTACAAATACTCAGTCCTGCCACTTCCACACTGCCAGATCGTAATCTCTGCTTAGTCAGTCTACGGTTCTAGCCGTTTGTTACTATTCAGATCCTGTTAGCCTGTTGTGCCTGTTTTCCTTGCCTGCTGCTGTTTTCCTCTCCGCTACAGTTCTGCCCGCTCTGACTCTGGTCCCTGTCTCCAGTCCCACGTCTCGTCATCCTGCTACTCTGTCCTAGATTCCCCACTCTACTACTCCCTTGGATTCCCCTCCGGACCTGCTCACCCTGTCTCCAACCCCCCTCGCTCCAGCCTCAGCCTCCGCACCTGGTTTCCAGCAGTTTCCCCTGACCTGCACTCCATCTTCCCCCTGTGTTTCAATATATACCTTGGTTACTTCATCCCAGTCTCCTCGTCTGAGTCTGCTCTTGGGTTCCCCTGTTCCACTCCGCGTAACAGTACGATCTGGCCAAAGAGATGAACCCAGCAGACTCTGCTACTCTCCACCAAACCCTCGTCGGCCAAGGCACCCTGCTCGAGCAACATGACCAAGCCCTGAAGACCCTTCTGGAGCACATCAAGGAGTTTTCACAGAGCCTTACCTACAGGGCCGACCCTTCGCCCAGAGCTCACAACCAGTTCCAAGTCCTTCTCCTCCGCTCCGGGAGCCGTTTGTTTCCGACTCCCGAACGTTACGATGGCAACCTCGGAGCTTGCAGAGCCTTTTTGGTACAATGTTCACTAGTATTTGAGCAACAGCCCTACTCTTATGCTAGCGAACGGGCCAAGATTTCCTTTCTGATTGGCTGCCTCCGCGGAACAGCGCTTTCTTGGGCCACGGCGGTGTGAGAGAGACAGTCCCTCATCTGCTTCTCCTACTCCAGATTCACGGAGGAGATGAAGAAAGTCTTAGACCACCCGGTCTGTGGTAAGGATGCCGCTAAACGAATCCTGTCCCTCCGTCAAGGCCCCCATAGTGTTGCTGAGATGGCATGTGAGTTCCGCACCCTCGCCGCTGAGAGCGGCTGGAATGAGGAGGCCCTTCAGGGAGCATTCCGGAACGCACTCACTGAGACCCTCAAGGGCGAGTTGGTGTCCAGGAATGAGCCTGATGGACTTGATGAACTCATCTCTCTCGCTATCCGCATCGACAACCGTCTCCGTGAGCGTCGGAGGGAGAGGGTAGGTAGGGTTGCATGTCCCATAACATCTGCTTCAGTGCCTTGTCCTCTTTCTCCGACTGCATCCCATCCCCAGGCTCGTCCAGATCCTGAACCCATGGAGCTCGGCCGGGCCTGTCTCTCTCCAGAGGAGAGGCAATGACGAATCGGCGCTAGGAGCTGCCTATACTGTGGCCAGGTTGGTCACTTTGTCTCCACTTGTTCCCTGCGTCCAGCAAAAGAGGGGGCTCGGCAGTAGTGGGGGATATACTGTTGAGCCAAATCGCCTGCCCATCTTTCCCCAGACCCCTGCTTGAAGGCAACCTTGTGTGGCAGAGCCAGGCTTTTCCTCTGTCTGCTCTCATCGATTCGGGCGTCGACGAGAGCTTCCTGGACCGAGGTGTCGTTACCCAGTTGGGCCTGGACACTGTCTCACTCGATTCACCCCCTCGATGCCAATGCTCTCAATGGACAGCTTCTCACCCATGTCTGTGAGAGAACTGTCCCTGTCATCCTGCGTCTCTCAGGAATTCACCAGGAAAATAAAAGTTTCCATATAATCGACTGTCCTTACTCTCCCCTGGTTCTTGGCCATCCATGGTTAAAGCTACACAACCCACAGATTGACTGGCCCGCCGGAAGGGTAACCACTTGGAGTTCATTTTGTCAGTTTAATTGTTTACATTCTGCCCTTCCCCCTGCCTTGTCTGTGTCCCAGTTCATTCCAGAACCTCCGGACCTGTCATCAGTTCCTCCCAAGTATCACGATCTAGCTCCTGTGTTCAGCAAGCACCACACCCTGTCGCTGCAGCCTCATCGGTCGTACGACTGCGCCATTGACCTCCAGCCTGGAGCTCCTCTACCCAGTAGCCGGTTGTTTAACCTCTCTCGTCCCGACCAAGAGGCTATGGAGAGGTACATCCAGGATTATCTGGCTGCAGGACTTATCAAGCCATCTTCCTCCCCGGTGGGTGCTGGGTTTTTCTTTGTGAAGAAGAAGGATGGGTTACTGAGGCCGTGCATAGACTTCCGTGGGCTGAATAATATCACTGTTAAGAACAAGTACCCCTTGCCACTCAGCTCTGCTTTGTCCCCCTCCATGGTGCCACAGTGTTTACCAAACTTTTTGTCTATTTAGATGACATCCTGATTTTTTTCCCAAGGACCCTGAGGCTCACCAGCAACACGTTCTTCAACAGCTGTTGGAGAATAAGCTTTTTGTTAAAGCTGAAAAATGTGAGTTCCATGCTGCCACAGTGTCTTTCCTGGGTTATATTATTGCACAGGGACAGTTACATATGGACCCCGCCAAGGTCATGGCAGTCAGAGTGGCCTGCGCCCTCCAACCTGAAGCAGCTACAGCGTTTCCTGGAGTTTGCATTTTTACAGACGTTTCATCCGCAACTACAGCCGTCTGGCAGCACCTCTCACAACTCTCACCTCCACCTCAGCCCGACCCAGAACTCCAGTTCATCGTGGAGGTGGACACCTCTGACACCGGGGTAGGTGCTGTTCTGTCTCAACGTTCCCCCTCTGATCAGAAGGTCCACCCGTGTGCATTCTTTTCCCGTAAGCTTTCACCTGCAGAGAGGAATTTTGACATTGGAAACCGGGAACTCCTGGCAGTTAAGCGTAACACATAGGAGTGGGCAAGACAGCACAAACAAATCTGAGACCAGTCTAGCTCTCTCCCCTACATATTAAAAAAGGAGAATAGCCAATGATGTTTGTTGGTGTTTTTGTGTGATTTGGAAAGGAGGCAAAAGCAGCAGAGAAAGTGGGTGAGGCGAAAGCAGTAAAGCTGTATGTCAGATTCCTCCTATTGAGAAGATGGAAGCCTTGCTGTCGACCGTCATCAACTGCGAGTGAGTGAAACGTTATTCCTCTAAATGTCTGAAACCTTATTTCATAGTACAAGGGTGGTAATTCAATATGGAAATATCTGGGTCTTTTCTGGGGCTCTCCAGTTATAAAAAAAACTTTTCCTGTTGAAAAGGGATATCCCAAGTAGGGCTGTGACGGTCATTGAATAACTGTGTAACTGACGGTTATGGATGAATACCGCCATGAAAATAAAAGAACAGTCAAAACCATTTAAATAGGCAGACATTCTTTTTTATTTATTTTTGCATTTTTATTAACATTATTTTAATGTAGATAAACTAAACCTAATAGTGGGAGTGTTTACTAATGATTATAAGCAATTGTTTTGCTAGCTTAGTCTGTCTACATCTCTTCCTCTTTGCTTTTCCAACTGTCGTTTGACGCTTGAGCAGCTAATCCGCTAGATTCGCGAGGGTGTAGAAGCGCTAGTCTATAGGCTATGGCACTTCAGGAAAAAAATATTTGATGTGTGGACTTTCTTTTATACAATGTATGCACGTTTTCATTGCTTGATAGTAAATAAATAAATCTGTCTTTAAAAAAAGGTTGGTGTCTGACTATTCATTAATTATTCAACAAGGTTGTTCTGGTTCTGAGGCCTATAATGCACTAATGTTGTGTCAAATGGACAATGTACCAATCCTATCCAAATCAGCATGGTATATTTGATACAGAATATTTTCTTAATTTATAGACTAATCAACGCTGATAAATAGGCTATTGACATGTTGTGTGTATTTGTTTCTATGTTAATGATTGTCCATTTCATCTTCATACTATCACATAGCTGTCTCTCTCCCCTTCATACTTTCCTTGTCAATTTATTATCTTATAGCCTACTTTTCGGAAAGCCTAAGGTAGGCCCAGTGGTGGAAAAAGTACTCAATTGTCATACTTCAGTAAAAGTAAAGATACCTTAATAGAAGAGCATCTGGTCAGCGGGGTGGTGGCACAGGAATCCTCATCTCTCCCAAGTGGACATTCTCTCTTTTTCCCCTGACCCATCTGTCTATCTCCTCATTTGAATTCCATGCTGTCACAGTCACTAGCCCATTCAAGCTTAACATCCTTGTCATTTATCGCCCTCCAGGTTCCCTTGGAGAGTTCATCAATGAGCTTGATGCCTTGATAAGTTCCTTTCCTGAGGATGGCTCACCCCTCACAGTTCTGGGTGACTTCAACCTCCCTACGTCTACCTTTGACTCATTTCTCTCTGCCTCCTTCTTTCCACTCCTCTCCTCTTTTGACCTCACCCTCTCACCGTCCCCCCTACTCACAAGGCAGGCAATACGCTTGACCTCATCTTTACTAGATGCTGTTCTTCTACTAATCTCACTGCAACTCCTCCCCTCCATGTCTCCGACCACTACTTTGTATCCTTTTCTCTCTCGCTATCCTCCAACACTACTCACTCTGCCCCTACTCAGATGGTAATGCGCCGTCGCAACCTTCGCTCTCTCTCTCCCGCTACTCTCTCCTCTTCCATCCTATCATCTCTTCCCTCTGCTCAATCCTTCTCCCTCCAATCTCCTGATTCTGCCTCTTCAACCCTCCTCTCCTCCCTTTCTGCATCCTTTGACTCTCTATGTCCCCTATCCTCCCGGCCGGCTCGGTCCTCCCCTCCTGCTCCGTGGCTTGATGACTCATTGCGAGCTCACAGAACAGGGCTCCGGGCAGCCGAGCGGAAATGGAGGAAAACTAGACTCCCTGCGGACCTGGCATCTTTTCACTCCCTCCTCTCTACATTTTCTTCATCTGTTTCTGCTGCTAAAGCCAATTTCTACCACTTCCAAGCATCAGCCTCTAACCCTAGGAGCTCTTTGCCACCTTCTCCTCCCTGCTGAATCCCCCCCCCCCCCCCCCCCCCCCCCCCCCCCCCTCTCCCTCTCAGTGGATGACTTCGTCAACCATTTTGAAAAAGAAGGTTGACGACATCCGATCCTCGTTTGTTAGTCAAATGACACTGCTGGTCCTGCTCACACTGCCCTACCCCTATGCTTGACTTCTTTCTCCCCTCTCTCTCCAGATAAAATCTTGCGACTTGTGATGGCCGGGCCGCCCACAATCTTGCCCCGCTTGACCCTATCCCCTCCTCTCTTCTCCAGACCATCTCCGGTGACCTTCTTCCCCTTACCTCACCTCGCTCATCAACTCATCCTTGACCGCTGGCTATGTCCCTTCCTTCTTCAAGAGAGCGAGAGTTGCACCCCTTCTCAAAAAACCAACACTTGATCCCTCTGATGTCAACAACTACAGACCAGTATCCCTTCTTTCTTTCTCTCCAAAACTCTTGAGCGTGCCGTCTTTAGCCAACTCTCTTGCTATCCTCTCTCAGAATGACCTTCTTGATCCAAACCAGTCAGGTTTCAAGACTGGTCATTCAAACTGAGACTGCTCTTCTCTGTGTCACGGAGGCTCTCCGCACTGCTAAAGCTAACTCTCTCCTCCTCTGCTCTTGTCCTTCTAGACCTGTCTGCTGCCTTTGATACTGTGAACCATCAGATCCTCCTCTCCACCCTCTCCGAGACTGGGCATCTTCCGGCGCGGCTCACTCTTGGATTGCGTCCTACCTGACCGGTCGCTCCTACCAAGTGGCATGGCGAGAATCTGTCTCCGCACCACGTGCTCTCACCACTGGTGTCCCCCAGGGCTCAGTTCTAGGCCCTCTCCTATTCTCGCTATACACCAAGTCACTTGGCTCTGTCATATCCTCACATGGCCTCTCCTATCAATGCTACGCAGACGACACACAACTAATCTTCTCCTTTCCCCCTTCTGATAACCAGGTGGCGAATCGCATCTCTGCATGTCTGACAGACATATCAGTATGGATGACGGATCACCACCTCAAGTTGAACCTCGGCAAGACGGAGCTGCTCTTCCTCCCGGGGAAGGACTGCCCGTTCCATGATCTCGCCATCACGGTTGACAACTCCGTTGTGTTCTCCTCCCAGAGTGCGAAGAGCCTTGGCGTGACCCTGGACAACACCCTGTCGTTCTCCGCTAACATCAAGGCGGTGACCCAATCCTGTAGGGTTCATGCTCTACAACATTCGGAGGAGTACGACCCTGCCTTACACAGGAAGCGGCACAGGTCCTAATCCAGGCACTGTCATCTCCCGTCTGGATTACTGCAACTCGCTGTTGGCTGGGCTCCCTGCCTGTGCCATTAAAACCCCTACACTCATCCAGAATGCCGCAGCCCGTCTGGTGTTCAACCTTCCCAAGTTCTCTCACGTCACCCCCGCTCCTCCGCACACTCCACTGGCTTCCAGTTGAAGCTCGCATCTGCTACAAGACCATTGGTGCTTGCCTACGGAGCTGTGAGGGGAACGGCACCTCCGTACCTTCAGGCTCTGATCAGTCCCTACACCCAAACGAGGGCATTGCGTTCATCCACCTCTGGCCTGCTGGCCCCCCTACCTCTGCGGAAGCACAGTTCCCGCTCAGCCCAGTCAAAACTGTTCGCTGCTCTGGCACCCCAATGGTGGAACAAGCTCCCTCACGACGCCAGGACAGCGGAGTCACTCACCACCTTCCGGAGACACTTGACACCCCCACCTCTTTAAGGAATACCTGGGATAGGATAAAGTAATCCTTCTACCCCCCCTTACCCCACCCCACCCCCCCCAAAAAACATAAACATATTGTAAAGTGGTTATCCCACTGGCTATAAGGTGAATGCACCAATTTGTAAATCGCTCTGGATAAGAGTGTCTGCTAAATGACGTACATGTAAATGTAAATGTAGAAAATGACTCAAGTGGAAGTCACCCAGTAAAATCCTAAAAGTATTTGGTTTTAAATCTACTTAAGTATCAAAAGTAAATGTAATTGCTAAAATATACTTAAGTAAAATTTTAAAGTATAAATCATTAAAAATACATTATATTAAGCAAACCAGATGGCACCATTTTCTTGTTTTGATTTAGGGGCATGCTCCAACACTCAGACATCATTTACAAACTAAGCATGTGTTTAGTGAGTCTGCTAGATCAGAGGCGGTAGGGATGACCAGGGATGTTCGGTTGATAAGTGTGTGAATTTGACTATTTTCCTGTCCTGCTAAGCATTTAAAATGTAATGAGTACTTTTGGGTGTCAGGGAAAATGTATGGAGTAAAAAGTACATCATTGTCTTTAGGAATGTAGTGAAGTAAAAATAAAAGAGTAAAGTACAGATACCCAAAAAAACTACTTAAGTAGTACTTTCAAGTATTTTTACTTAAGTACTTTACACCACTGGGTAGGCCTAGTTTTAAAATATATATGTTTTAAGGAAAGGATAAATATTTGCTCTTCTGTCTGACATACGCTGGTGGCTTTGATTGACGGGTCCTTTTACGGGGGTGTGCATGTGTGAGTTAGCTGATTCTCTCTATAGGCCTATATGTCCATTCAGAAAGTTTCTTAAAGTAGCCTTTCTGGACTCTATCTCTTTAATATGAATCAAACGCTCCTGTCATGATCTTGTAAAAGGCACATTTTCAGTAAAGGCCCATTCTCACCAAGTCTGTTATTTTTGTCCAAATAATAAGGAAGAAAAAAAGATATACGAGCATGTCTTGTTTATGATGGCATTCACACCAATTGCGAAATATTGTCCTGCCACAATCCGTCAATTATTTATATACAGGTTTGATTTTTGCATCTTTTTGCTTGCGAAAGTAAGTTGTTGACCAATAAAAATTGTTATCTGGGACACTAACACTGATAGGCTGCGCACTGCCACTGACAGGTCTGTGGGTTCGTTGTGTGAATTAATACATTTATCTTGCCTGTTCTTTACGTTTGCAATGTATCAGTGCAGCATGGTAAGTCAAACACTTCTTAAATCTTTGAATAATTCTCTAGTTTAAATAAATTAAACAAAGACCCAATTCTGCAATGGTCAGCCTTTATTCATTGAAAGCGCTCTGCAACAAAATGGTCGTACAATCTTTTTATACACACACCTCTGCTCTCCTGACACACACACACACACATGTTCTTATCATAGTCTACCCCTTGCTCGGGCAGGCTGCATTTTTTTCTCTATCGCCGTTCTCACAATATCCTGCAAGCCTTTTTCACTCCCCCTCCCTGTATGGTTTTGAAACCTGTCTCCTGTTATTGGTTTCAATCGTTTTGCACTTCTGCTTGCCTAATTACAAGACACAAATACTCTGTTGATGGGCAAATATGCATCTTATATAAAGACATTTAAGCTCTAAGCTCTAGTCTACTAATTAGTCATACATTATTAGTTTAACTGAGGGTGTGACATTTTAGTCATATCTTACTCACACATTTCTTTATCAGGTATCAATTTAGCTTTTGTGATCACATCACACCAGAGCCAGGCTACACGTCGCTGATACTCGCCATTCAAACTTCCCCGCCAGTTCATTGCCAACGCTGTAGCCTATTTTATAGCCATTCAGCAAGCAAGAGGATCGATCGATGCTTCTCTCCTCGAATAAGCCTAGGCTTATTAGTTTAAAAAAATTGCCAGATACTGACTGGTTTTCTGATCCACGACCCAATTTTTTTTTTAAAGGTATCTGTGACCAACAGATGCATATCTGTATTCCTAGTCATGTGAAATCCATAGATTAGGGCCTAATTAATTTATTTCAATTGACTTATTACCTTATATGAACTGTAACTCAGTAAAATCTTTGAAATTGTTACGTTTATATTTTTGTTCCGTGTATATTGCTGTTCATTATCTATATACATTTATATAGGCTACACGTTCAAGAGCTAGAAGAGATAGGCCAGCAGAGATGCGTGAATTGCGCAAGAAGACGTGAGTTAATATTTATTTAACCAGGTAAGTTGAATGAGAACACGTTCTCATCTACAGCAACGACCTGGGGAATAGTTACAGGGGAGAGGAATGAGCCAATTGGAAGCTGGGGATGATTAGGTGGCCATGATGGTATGAGGGCCAGATCGGGAATTTAGCCAGGACACCGGGGGTAACACCCCTACGATAAGTGCCATGGGATCTTTAGTGACTACAGAGAGTCAGGACACCTGTTTAACATCCCACCCGAAAGACAGCACCCTACACAGGGCAATGTCCCCAATCACTGCCCTCGGGCATTGGGATATTTATTTAGACCAGAGGAAAGAGTGCCTCCTACTGGCCCTCCAACACCACTTCCAGCAGCATCTGGTCTCCCATCCAGGACCAACCCGTTGACTTTTTCCACATTGTGTTACGTTACAGTCTTATTCGAAAAAGACATTATTTTTCCCCCTCAATCTACACACAATACCCCATAAGGGCCCACTCAAGGACATTCAGAGACTTGTCCTGAAGCCACTCCAGCGTTGTCTTGGCTGTGTGCTTAGGGTCGTTGTCCTGTTGGAAGGTGAACCTTCGCCCCAGTCTGAGGTCCTGAGCGCTCTGGAGCAGGTTTTCATCAAGGATCTCTCTGTACTTTGCTCCGTTCATCTTTCTCTCGATCCTGACTAGTCTCCCAGTCCCTGCTGCTGAAAAACATCCCCACAGCATGATGCTGCCACCACCATGCTTCACCGTGGGTATGGTGCCAGGTTTCCTCCAAATGTGATGCTTGGCATTCAGGCCAAAGAGTTCAATCTTGGTTTCATCAGACCAGAGAATCTTGTTTCGCATGGTTTGAGAGTCCTTTAGGTGCCTTTTGGCAAACTCCAAGTGGGCTGTCATGTGCCTTTTACGGAGGAGTGGCTTTTGCTGGCCACTCTACCATAAAGGCCTGATTGGTGGGGTGCTGCAGAGATGGTTGTCCTTCTGGAAGGCTCTCCCATCTCCACAGAAGAACTCTGGAGCTCTATCAGAGTGACCATCGGGTTCTTGGTCACCTCCCTGATTAAGGCCCTTTTCCCCCGATTGTTCATTTTGGCCGGGCGGCCAGCTCTAGGAAGAGTCTTGGTGGTTCCAAACTTCTTCCATTTATGAATGATGGAGGCCACTGTGTTCTTGGGGACCTACAATGCTGTCTCTGAGCTCTACGGACTATTCCTTCAACCTCATGGCTTGGTTTTTGCTCTGACATGCACTATCAACTGTGGGACCTTATATAGACAGGTGTGTGCCTTTACAAATCATGTTCAATCAATTGAATTTACCATAGGTGGACTCCAATGAAGTTGTAGAAACATCTCAAGGATGATCAATGGAAACAGGATGCACCTGAGCTCAATTTCAAGTCTCATTGCAAAGGGTCTGAATACTTATGTAAATAAGGCATTTCAGTTTTTTATTTTTAATACATTTGCAAACATTTCTAAAAACCTGTTTTCGCTTTGTCATTATGGGGTATTGTGTGTAGGTTGATGAGGAAAAAAAATATTTTATCAATTTTAGAATAAGGCTGTAACGTAACAAAATATGGAAAGAGTGAAGGGGCCTGAATACTTTCCAATGCACTGTACCATCATATTGATGCCTGCCTCATGAATAAAGTCAATTCTGATAATGTGTTTGATGGTCGACATTACATCTGTGGTTATTCCATTGCAGCTGAGTTCCTGAAGCTGGACAACCTTTCAGCACTAATGGACCTGGTGTTTGTGGGAAACCCTCTGGAGGAGAAATACTCAGCTGAGGGGTACTGGATAGAAGAGGCCACCAAAAGGCTGCCCAAGGTGAAGAAACTAGATGGTAAGACTCCTATTTGTTTCATAGTAGTATTCACCAGAATGTATTATTGTCATCGTTACCTATTTTGAGCCGTTCTTCATAGAGTATGGCTCAGTATAGAACATCCTGCTTGTCATTTCACATTGCTTATTTCAGTAGTTTTTGCTATTGATGTGTCAATGATCCTGACTTCTCCTCTCCTCTAATCTCAGGTCCTCTTCTTCTCTCTGTCACTCTCCTCCCCCCTCCTCTCCTCTCTTCTGCAGGGAACCCAGTGATCTAGCTTGATGATGACGACGACACATTTCCATTTCAAAGTTTACAGGTTGTTGTTTTCAAAAATGTGTTTATTGAAACGGTTTCAATACCAGTGTCATTTAGAATCAATCCACCAGGCAATATCCTAGTCTCTTGTTATTCTTTTTAGATGTTGAAGTGCATAAGCTCATTCCACTGGTTGGGGAAATGGCCTCTCTCATAGAAGCACAAGCTGATACTTTCAAGGATCAGTGGATGTCATGAAATAAAAGCAATAGGACGAGGCAGTAGAGTTAGGCTGTTTGATGACGTATGTATGTCACGGTTGCACTTATAAAACGGCCTCCTCTGAGGTACACAACATTCAAGAAGGTACAAGGTGCATTCTCATTAATCTTGTCCACCAGCCGGCGCTCTAGCCTGGGGACAAAGTTACATTGCCATTAGTCTTGTCCACCAGCCGGTTCTCTAGCCTGGGGACAAGGTTACATTCCCATTAGTCTTGTCCACCAGCCGGCTCTCTAGCCTGGGGACAAGGTTATTGCCATTAGTCTTGTCCACCAGCCGGCTCTCTAGCCTGGGGACAAGGTTACGTTCCCATTCACAAGCAATAGTTTTTATAGTGTATTTATTTTTAAGGAACCAACCTTAAACCTGTTCGGTTTTATTTACTGCAGTGTCTATTAATTGTCCAAACGCACAGCCGCTGAAGGCGTAGAAGGCCCATTGTTCCCCACTGTGTTTGGGTTAGTAATAATTTGCAGAGTGGCTCTATTTTCCCTCTGCATGCATTTGTTCACTATTCTCAACGTCTAAAGAATCCATAAATTGTTCTGAAATATAAACACAGAAATACTGGACATTTCGAACTCTTATTATGGTGGTGATTTGACAAAATTACAATCATGGTCTTGAATTGGACTCGCATTTTTCTGGTCTCGTCTTGACTCGGTCTCGAACCCCTTGTCCCCCTCCCGGTCATAGTCTTGACTCGGACTCGATTTGCTTCGGTCTTGGTTTTGAATCGGTCTTGTTTTAGGTGGTCTCGAACACACCACTGATTGATACACAAGAAAAGACAAGCCTCCAGGCTACTTTATGTTTGGACCTGGAAAACATATAAATATAATTGCTATTGTGATGCATAGTTGCCATGGTTATTTGGAATGTTCAGTCAATGAGCATTCCAATGAATAAAGGTAATTTTGGACTATGAGACACTGGGCTATATTAAGATGAGTCAATAATATGCATAGATTATGCAGAATGCATTGCATGAGTCAGTGTGTAGGTAAATGTCAATCACGTGGTGCGAGGCCACCTGTTCAGGTCCGTAAAAAAGTTGTAATTTCGTTCAACTCATGTTGCTCAAGTCAAGTGATTAATCGCGAAAGTTAGTTGTTTTGACTGAGCCTTCTGAACTAAAACATTAAGCGCTCTATTTTCAGCCGGCGTTAACGTACGCTCTTTGGCAATTTCAACTAATTGACCTGTCTTATATCAGCTCGCTTGCGCTGAGGTGGGAGGGTTGGAAATATTTGAGGTGTCCTTAAAAACAACCAGACCCGGCCCATCGCAGCACAGCTCTACCAGACCAGGTCCATCACAGCACATCTCTACCAGACCCGGCCCATCACAGCACATCTCTACTAGACCCGGCCCATCACAGCACATCTCTACCAGACCCGGTCCATCACAGCACATCTCTACCAGACCTGGCCCGCCTCAACTCAGTCCAGCTCTACACAGCACCGACCACTACCCTAGGGTCTGGCAAAACACTGTAGAGGGGAGTGCACCACATGATGCAGTCCACACCATGTATCATTCACATCATCAGCCCTCGCATGCTGAGAGTTTGGAGCTTCGCCAGCCACACTGCCCTCCACACCACCCTCCTCAATTCCCCCCACAACCTCCCTCCCAGGCTAGTTTTGGTTACCTTCCCTACTCTCATCCCCAGTACAGGCCTGGGACTCTCCTTCCCCAAATGGCAGCCCCAACCCTGCAACAGGAGCCACAGCCACTCCATTGGCAGGCACTCCGGTCCCCTGCAGCAGCTCCACTCCTTTGGCGGGAGCTTCAGCTGGGTAGACTGAGCTCTGCCAACACTGCTCTCCCAGTTCCCGCCTCCCAACCCCTGCGTCCGACTTGAGGGAGGTCTGTCAAATGCTCAGTCTGCTCTGCTCTCACGTGGTTGGCCAGGGACCTTGGCAAAGTCTCAGCTCACTCAACAAATAGCTACAGATGACCCTATGCATGTTAGCTCTTATGGGAATGAGCTAAATACTCCCTTTGACTTTAAATCTCAAAGGGGGCTTGGGCTAATACACATAAATGCGCGAAGTATGATTTAAAAACTTGACACAACTGAAATTTGGGTACATGACTCGTATCCTGACATTCTGGTTCTCTCGGAAACATGGTTAAATGGTCTTGTCACGCCCTGGTTCTGGGGACACTGTTATGTTGAGCCAGGGTGTGTAGATTTGTGTTGTAGTTCTAGTTGGTTCATTTCTATGTTGGCCAGTGTGGTTCTCAATCAGAGGCAACGAGTGTCAGCTGTGGCTGGTTGTCTCTGATTGGGAACCACATTTAACAGGCTGTTTTCCCACAGTAGTTGTGGGATCTTGTTTCTAGTTTGGTTTGTGTTAGACCGTGAACTGTCACGTTATCGTTTTGTTTATTTTGTCAATATATCGCCTAATAAAGAGTATGTTTGCCTGCAACGCTGCGCCTTGGTCCTCATCTCTAACCAACGATCGTGACAGAAGATCCCACCAAGACTGGACCAAGCAGCAAGTCCAGGAGCCAGCGCCTGAGAGATCTCCTTCGCCTCCTCGACTGGGTCAAGCCATGTGAGGAAGAGAGGGGCTTGACGTGGAAGCAGAAGGGCGAAAGGCTGGCAAAAAGTATGGAGACCTGGTCCACGGGTAGGAGTGAAGCCCATAAAATTTTTAGGGGGGGGCTAACGCCGTGGACGACGGGGCAGCAGGAGACCACGACAGAGCAGCCCAGTGGGTTGGCAGAGGAGGTCGCCAGGTTACGGGGGCCACTGGTCGAAGAGGGGAAGGAAGGTGTAGAGGCACGGCGAGAGGTACTGGGGTGTGTTACCAGTCCGGTCCGGCCCGTTCCTGATCCCTGCATAGGGCCAGTGGTGTGTGTCCCCAGTACGGTCCGGCCTGTTCCTGTTCCTCGCATCGAGCCTGTGGTGCGCGTCGCCAGTCCGGCACGGCCCGTGCCTGTTCCCCACACCAAGCCAGTGGTGTGCGTCGTCAGTCCGGCACGGCCTGTGCCTGTTCCCCACACCAAGCCAATGGTGTGCGTCGCCAGCCCGGTCCGGTCCGCTCCTGCTCCCCCCACCAAGCCAGTGGTGTGCGTCGTCAGTCCGGCACGGCCCGTGCCTGTTCCCCACACCAAGCCAGTGGTGTGCGTCGCCAGCCCGGTCCGGTCCGCTCCTGCTCCCCACACCAAGCCAGTGGTGTGCGTCGTCAGTCCGGCACGGCCCGTGCCTGTTCCACCGGTGCCTGGTCCGGCACCGGTCAGCTGCTTCACGCCGGAGCTAGAGCAATCCGCTCCACCAGTGTGCAGTCCAGCTCCGGTCAGCGGGGCCAGACCGGACCAGGGGTACTTTGGGGGGTTGGAGAGGGAGTGGGGATCAGGCCCGGAGCCGGATCCGCCGCCAAGGCGGAGTGCCCACCCGGTCCCTCCCCTGTGGTATTTAGTTGACGCGGTCGGAGTCCGCGCCTTTAGGGGGGGGTACTGTCACGCCCTGGTTCTGGGGACACTGTTATGTTGAGCCAGGGTGTGTAGATTTGTGTTGTAGTTCTAGTTGGTTCATTTCTATGTTGGCCAGTGTGGTTCTCAATCAGAGGCAACGAGTGTCAGCTGTGGCTGGTTGTCTCTGATTGGGAACCACATTTAACAGGCTGTTTTCCCACAGTAGTTGTGGGATCTTGTTTCTAGTTTGGTTTGTGTTAGACCGTGAACTGTCACGTTATCGTTTTGTTTATTTTGTCAATATATCGCCTAATAAAGAGTATGTTTGCCTGCAACGCAACGTCCTCATCTCTAACCAACGATCGTGACAGGTCTCTTATAAACACATTGAAGTAAATGATTATAATGTATTTAGATGTGACAGATTACAGAAAGGGGGAGGAGTGGCCATATATGTAAAATCTAATTTCATGGCACACCAATCTTTAAATAGTTCTGTTCCCAAGAAATTTGAGCTCCTGGTTGTGTCCATAAACCAGAATACACATTTATTTGCTGCTGGGATTTACCGCACCCCTGCTGCCATGGCGGATGTTATTGGTGCTATATCTGAGTGTTTAACATCTTCTCTGTCCTCGGAGTTGGTCATTTTAGGCGATTTGAATCTGGATTGGCTATCCCCGGCCACAGATCAATTTAACAGTATATGCATTGATTTTAATCTGACTCAATTGATATCAAAACCCACACGGCTAAATGTGAAAAACCCTGTTAACTCCACAACAGATATACTATCTCGATTAAGAAAGCTAAATCAAGCTACTTTTTAAGCTCTATCTCTGACTCTGCTGGTGATCCTTCTAACTTTTGGAAAACAGTAAATGCACTAAAGCGTACAGATTCCTCTTTTTCCCTGCCTAAGCAGGTTCTGTCTGACTGGCATAACTGAGATAATGGGATAAGTGATGCTTTTAATTGTCATTTTAACTCGGCAGGCTTTTAATTTGAGAGAAACTGTGGTTTAATTGACACTGGTCAGTCAATCAACTGCTCTTCCCTCTGCCAGCCTCTAGCTGACTCAACGGTTAACCCATCAACTTCTAGTGAATCTTTGTTTTCATTTAAACAATTTACTATCTGTGATATGCTAGATGCCAATTAATTAAAATTAAAATTGACTTTTTTTAAAATCCACTGGAGCTGATATGCATGATCCATTTTTGCTACAGCTCTTTGCCCTCCTGATTGCTGAATCATTGACCCATATCTTTAACCTGACGATTATATCTGGTACTATACCCAAGG